TTTTCTAATTGGAGTTCATAACTATACATTTGTTTAAAAAATTTATTATTAATATAACTTGAAACTACATGCGTGTATGTGTGTGTTTGTTATTGTGTATGTAATTGCATGAAATAAGTCCAAAAATTAAGCTTGCCAATATATAACTTCAATTTGTTTATCATCAGCCATTGTTTCTTCCCAAGTAAATTGGAATAACAAAAATCCAACAGGTGTATCATTATTATCTATGTTATTTGAATCTTTTCCAAATATACTGCTATCATTATTTATTCTTTTTTGTGTATTTCTGGCAATCAGATAATTTGCACCAGTTTCATGCATTTCTTGAAGTTTTTCTCTTGAATTCCAACCAATGTTTGAATTTTCATAACTTGCTTTTATTTTAGATAAAATAAATGCATTCTAAATACTATTATTAATTTTTTTCATTAACTATGAAAGGAATGCCTACATTTTTTTTATATTTGATTTTACTAATTCAAAAGTCCATTTTTGTAAATCCATTGGCAAATTTGAAATATTATAGTGTTCAATGATCACATTAATGCTATGAATTCAAATGTAATTTAGTGATAAATTTAAAAGGTTGGAATTTCAACAGGTTTTTTTTAAAAAAAAAACCTTACTGTTCATTATTATAGATTAGAGTAGGAGAACCAAGGAATCCAATTACATTATTGGCCTTTAAAAAGATTTTTATATAAAATTGTTAAAGCAAATTGAATTCATTTATTCATTTAGAGCTTGATATTATTATTATAATGAACTTTACCTGTTTTGCAATTTCGACCAAATTTTGTGATGGTTTTTTATTATCAAAGGGCATCTTTTTTTTTATATAAATTTTCTAGAACTGTGTTGTACAATTTTTTCATAATTAGTATTAGTATAACAAATTCTCAATATTTCTTAAAGCATCATCATCTCCTGTTATGATTGTTGTCTTTCATACAAGTATAACATATATTTAGTTAATTTTTCTTGATGTACCAATCCATTTATTTCAAAATCCTGAATCTCTTAAAACCAGTAAGTTTGTTTTAATCATTTGATTGACCTTAACAATATCATTATTTCCAATTCATATTCATATTTATATATATTTATGTATGCTATGGTGTTAATGGATTCATGGCACTATATTATAATTTAGAAAATTTAAAATATGATGTGGAATTTATGGATCAAAACATTAATAAAGGTGGCATAGATCTAGTTTTTTTATTAGAAGAAATTCCTGAATTCATCAAAAAACAAAACACCACAATTGAGAAACTGTGAATTCACTTCAAGAGTAGCTGGTTATTATAAAGAAATAAAAAATAAATTTATTTAATTAGATGATGTTGAAGATAAAGTTTATTTTGTGTTGTAAAAGTTAATTTACCTTTATAGAATTCAGCTAAATATTATTTTATTATAAAGCTATTACCATTTACTACATATTTTTAAAATAATTATTTTCTGTGTAAAAAATACCTTCATTCATTTTTTTTATTAGTGCAAGATACCTAGTCCTAAAGCTTGGTAAAGCACATCAATAAAAAATCACGCGAGAATTTTTTATTGGGAAAAATGCAGATCAATTTTAACAAATAATAATATTAAAGAATTACCCAAGACCAGAACGTTTATTGAGAATTGACACATAAAAAACAATTACATCCCAAATAGTGTAGTGTTGTGAACGGGCTTATTTCAGTGGGAAAGTTATCCATGTTTAAATTTTTTTAAGAAACATATTCGCTAGAATATATGTAAAATTATGTATTATGATAAAGATTTATAATAAAACTCTCTCTCTCTCTCTCTCTTAAAAAGCAAACATTTAGATAATGTTCTCTTAATAGTAGTAACATTAATAATGTCGAACTATTAGATAATAAAGTAGCAATGGTAATTGTGATACAATTATTTTTAATAATAATTATAATATAATAGTGAGTGGAAAAATCATTAATAATAAATTTATATATAGAAAAATATATCATTTTAAGCAAGTTGGCTTAACCGGCTGACACAATATTCGAATATTTATTCATTTGTCTGTAAAAAAGGCAAACTTGCTGATCGTCAAAATTTTCAAAATTTGAAAAACCGAAAAACTTTTCTCTATAAGAAAAACCGACTGAACAATCAAAATGAAATTCAATATTTCCCTTCTCCTCTTAATTGTCTTTGCTGTTGTCGCTTTAGCAAGACCAATTGATGATTTTAACGATGATATGCAGAAACGTAACTATTTTATTTATCATTACTAATTACAATAAATATCATAAAAAATTAAATCATTCCTTTTTCTTTTTTCTTTAAATAATGAATAGGTGGTAAGTATTTTTATTATTGTTATTACCGGTATCATTGTTTTGAAAAATGTTAACTGCTGATTTTCATTTTATTTTAAATAATGAATAGGCTGTAAGTAGTTTCATCATTATTTATTACTACAGTCAATATTATTGTTTTTTTGAAAAAAGTATTAACAGTCGATTTTCATTTTATTTTAAATAATAAATAGCTCGTAAGTATTTTCATCATTAGTCAATATCATTGTTTTGAAAAAATGTTAACTGCTGATTTTCATTTTATTTTAAATAATAAATAATAGAATGTAAGTATTTTCATTATTGTTATTATTATCAATATTATTATTGAAAAAATATATTGTTGATTTCAATTTACTTTAAATAATAAATAGGGGGGTAAGTATTTTCTTCGTTATTATGTATTATATTATTACAATTTATTTTGAAAAAAAATTGATTTTTCATTTTATTTTAAATAATAAATAGAATGTAAGTATTTTCGTCATCATCACTATCATTACAGCCGATATTATTTTTAAATGTTAATTTTCATTTTATAAAATAGAAAAGAAAGTCCCACAACTCCGGAACGCTAACACTATATAGAAAAACCATGCGTGCTACTTGATTCTTTTACTTCACATACCTTATTACATTTATATTTATAATTTTATCATTCAATTATTGATTCAACAAACGATATATTTATTTGATTTTTATTAAATTAGGGATATTTATATATTATTATTTCATATTATATTTTTCTTGGAAATAAAGAAAGTTTTATTTATTAATTTTCACGTTACAAACTATTTTCACATCATTTTAAAAGTATTAAAACACTGATAATTCCATCAAATTAATACTAATACTTATATGCAAATAAATATTTGTTTGAAAGATAAACAATACAAATCGAAATGCCTTTTATAAATAAATATTAATATGAATAAAAATTCTTTAAGCTTTTTTTAAAAATATTACGCTTCGTAACATTACCAAAAAAAAATTTTTTTTATTACAATTAAAAAACTAGTAGCAATTAGGTTTTGACTATCATCAAAAGTTGCAGCCGGTTCCTTAATTAGGTTTCATTTTTTTATAACAAAAATATAAATTGAAATGAAACAATAAAGTATTTCCCCAAAAAAATCACGAGTATATAGTGGTGATTTTGTTAATACAGCTGTACCTGTCCATTTATAAATGGTATCTCGGCCCCGTGTTAGGATTTATAAGCTACTTGCATCAAATAATGACCCTGGATATACTATTACATAGATTATTATTTAAGAAAATGTTCAAAATATATATATATATATATATTAATATTAATAATTGCTTTGTTTAACAGAATCTTTTCATAGTATTATTTCTACTATTTGCAAATTTCCAGTTGTAATCAGATCTGTAGAGGAATGCAGCCTTGTAAATGCAAGCACCATTCTTGGGATACATACTCAGTTGAGGATATTTCACACCAAGCGTTTTTGTAATGGCATTGTAATACAGTCCACTCTTTCTATAACTGATCTCTAATTTCCTTTACATTTTATAATGGACTAAAATTTTGTCCCAATTTTTTACTTTTGAAATCTCTCTTTATAACCATTAATTAAAATTTTGTATAATAATAACGTATACCTGAAACTATTTTATATTATATGACCTATATTAATATATAAAATCAACACTGCACTGTCAATAACGGATTCGCGTGATCTAAAAATAAAAATAAATGCAGATCCCTACAAAATTTTTTTTTTGACGTCAAGTTTGGATGGAAAATCTGTTCAGTTTGTTATAAACAATCTTGACCAAAGAAATACAAATAAGGAAGTATCTTGCATAAACAACATCAACCGTTCTTATATATATGTATATTAGCTTTAATTTTTTTACAAATATGTTCAAAGCTTTAGTTAAGTTTAATTGGATAGAATTAAGAAAAAATTAGAATATCGTTAATGATGATTAAAAAAGTTAAGGGTAGGGGGAATCACGTGGTATATTTAATAGTAAACAATGTATGGCGCGCCGAACAGGTCAAAAGGTTAATATTATCTTTCTTTTTCTTTTTCGAAATAATCGAATTTCAATTAATATTAATAACAATGATGACATAGCAAATCAGGAAGCACGAAATTTTGCATGCATATTCTACAGTACCTTGGCTAAAAGCTATGTATACTTATTCTGAAATTTTGCTTAAAGTATATAAATATGATTGATTTTGGACCGAGATTAATGTATCAAAAAAAAAATTTTGCATAAAAATCATTAAACTTTATACATTTAATAAATAATATTATTTTGAATAAATTATTTAAAACAATGTTGTTTAAATACTACTACTTGCGTGATCGATTCAATCATTAACACCAAAAGGACAAAATTAATTATTTGCAATAAAAGCTATTTGTTTGTTTTTTGATTTAAATATTAATTAATGCATGGTTATTCATAATAGTAGTAGTAATAGTAATAGTAGTAGTAGTAATATAAATTTTTTATTTTTAGACCTGTTTTCTAATCCTGTAATCGAATCAATTTTTTTTAATAAAGTAACACCTTTTATTAGATGTTGCTAATGAAGAATATTCGTTGAATATTTGTTTAATTGGATATCTGATTTTTATTCAAATATTATTAATATCTTATCCAACCGAATTAAATTCTAACAATAATTAATTAACTGGAATGAATATAACGCATGATCTGTGTTATAAAAGTGGTAAAACTAGCAGTGGAAGGAGTGACCTAGAAACGTCCCAATTAAATGTTAAGGATCGACAATCCCAGTATAAAAGTATACGATACGCAAATGGTCTCTAATACAACGTGTGATCTAGTTTGTTTATGTAGCGTTTGATTAGTTTTCGGGGTCCTAGTAAAAGTAGATTGGTAATAGTAGTATAATATTTTATATTAATACAAAATTTATAAATATTAGATAAACATTACAATGATAATCTTTAATGTAAAAAAATTAAAATCTTAATATATAATAATAATACATACATACATTTAAATAAAAAATCATAATAATTATAATTATAATAAATCATTAACTTTCTTTTCATCATCATCAACATTATTATTACTATTATTACTATTATTATTATTATTATTATCATGATTGTTATTAATATTATTTTCAATATTTACAATGTTATTTTCAGGATCAAGTGAAAGTTTATTCAAATCAACAAAATCAATCGCATCCCCTTCCCCATGCTCACTCTTGGTCATTAAAAACGGGCTAGCAATTTCCAGCAATTTATCAATCGCCTCATTTATATTACACTCTTTACCATAAAAAACCTCTTTACATAAATCTGATTCTATGTTGGGGAACATGCTTTTAAGCGATTCTAATGATTTTTGGATATCTCGTTTGGTAACTCGGTTGACTTCTTCTTCTATATGAGCATAATCACGTGAATCATGAGATGATGTGGATTCTAATGATAATGACCTTTCCATTCTTTGTGGTCCCATTGTTATCATCTCATTATTAATACCAATGCCATTGTTATTATTATCTGATAATAAATTTCTTGTGTTATATGATAACAGTTCATTTGTTGATAATCGTTGGGAGTTATTGGATGCATTAGCAGTGAAATTAGTAGTGGTATTGGTGGTGTTGATAGAAGCATTATTATATGGTGTTGATGAAGAAGCAGTGTTATTATTATTATTGTCATTATTGTCATTGAAATCAAGTTGACTTTGAATGTCTTGATTAAGATCTGATAATATTTTCCCTACAATATCTAAAGGTTTTTGAATTGTTTTCTGAGCAATAATAGTGCCTTTTTCAAATATTGCTTTTGCTTGTGCATGATTTATAATTGTACCTTTATTATTATTCTGAGCAATTGATCTGGATAATGGATGTATGGCATTTTCGTAATTAATTTCTCGAGTATTTTCTGCAAGTTTTGGTCGTTCTCTGTCAAGCTCCTTCATTGTCATCTCAATATTTCTAAAGTAGTAAAAAAGGACAAGTGTGAGAGTTTATGAAAAAAATTAATTAATTAATAAATTTTTAAAAATATTACTTGTCAAATTCTTCTTTTGTTATGGTCAATGAATGGAGGTCCATATTTTCAATAAAAGAAATTGCACTCATCTAGCATAAATGGTATGGATATATAATTAATATAACAATATCATTCTTTATAGCTCTTTATTTATGGATAAACCAAGACTTACTAAACTAGATAAATAATAACCAGCTTCAGATTGTAATTTTTCTGGACTCCTAAATCTATAAATATATCTAACCATAGCAAAATTGGTGATATTAGTATGAAGGTCTTAAAAATACATTTTTGAATACATGTTTTGACTTACTGAACATTAGACATCAAATATTCGGGATTTGCTTTTAAAATAACAAAAATTAATACTGGTAAAAATTTATCAGCTCCTTCTTCACCATCAACAAGTTTTATTAAACCTATTAATTAATTAGAAATTATTGTAAAAGACTGCTCTTTTTTATAAAAGATAATTAAAATTTTCTCACCATATATAACTTTACAACAATTAAGTATGCAAATAAGCTTATCTCTTGGAGCTTTATAATCATTTATCTTTAATAATTCTAAAAATGATTATAAAAAGAATATTCAATAAAGATATTCAATTAATTAATAAACAAATTTCCCTATATGTTTATACATACATAACGTACCTTTTTTAGCAAAGTCAAAAAATGCTTCATTGTGTGGAGTAATCGGAATATCTAAATGTTGTTCTCTAACCCATCTAAATATTTCAATTTTTTGATATAAAATATTATCACGTTCTATATCATCAGTAACGGGTGGTCCTTTAATTGCAGGTGTAAAAGTTCTAAAAAAAGAAAAAATTTAAAGATTCGTTCACTCATCCATCCATTTATTTTTATATTTTCAATCTTTAACAAAAAAAAAACAATAAGACCCACAATTTGTGTAATCGATTCATCACTAATTTTTCTATTCCTTCTTTTGCGTTTTCAAATTCTTGTTCTGACGCATTCCTCCACAACTCACATTCACGCATTTTTCCTGTTATAAACTAACCAAAATAATAAAATGCATGTAAGTGAACTTTACAATAAGTTGAATTTTTTACAAGTATTCTTAACATACGTCTAAAAATTCGCGCACAAATTTGATTTGATCATTAATTGTTCTAGGATGTCTTTCAAATTCTAATTCAAAACTAAATAATTATTTCAATAAATTGCTTAATATATTTTAACATTATTAATAAAATAAAAATAAGTAAATTAATTACTTTTTAACCATTCTTGCAATTTTTGTTGCATTTTTATGATCTATTTGCTTAAGAAACTTTGAATAATCAAATGGTATTTCTTTTTGATCCGAATTATTGTCATTTGATCTAGTATTGTTATTATTATCTGGTTCTTCATTTGTAATTTCGGTTGAGGTAGTTTCTTTTTCTTTTGACATGATTATACTAAAAAGTGTCCAAAAAATCGATTCATATTAATGTGCAACAAGACCCCAGATTATTATAATTGAGGTATAATAACTATTAATGGGGTATTTAATTTTAACTGGAGATGACATGGTTTTGGGTCTCCAATATTATTAATAAGTAGTTTTAGAATTGATAAAAATTGTTTCCAAGAGTTTCAAACAATTGAAATTCTTATGATCAAGTTTACAAAAAAATTGGCAATGGGTATTCCATATTTTTTTTACAAGTATAAGTATTTGATAAGCTTCTAAATGAATCAATAACATGACTGTTTAGATTCAATTGAAAGTTGGAATAATGGAAAATTATTCCAAATCTCCTCAATCAAAACTTATCATAATAATAATAATAATAAATGTCATAAATTAATAATAAATTTATCGGCTAAAAGACATAGTTGGTAGACTACAACTTTAGGTCTGCTGTAAATTTACCTTGTGGCTTGAGCTGCAGGTATAGTTTATTGATCCTGATAATTTCTCCCTGCGATACGGAATGGACTCAGTGTATATTATATATTTGGAATATTGATAAATTATATGACATTTAATTTGTGTATATTAATGATAAGTTAACTTTTATTACATCCAACTGCGGTGGCTTGAATGTTTGTATCTTAAATCGTTGAATGGCCCGTTGGTAGAGTTCGATTAATTTTTACTTGATAGTAATAGGTAAATGTTAGTTTATTATACCATTATTTTGACAAAATATATGTAAATTATAGATCAAGAATTTTGGTTCAGAAATAGTGGTAATGTAGATATTGTCTAGAAAGAAAATCAATCTTATTATATAATGTTGCAATTTTTGATGGAAATAATTAACAGTTTGAATAACTAATCTCTTATTCTGTAATGATATTAGTAATTTGATAGAAATATTCGTTTTGGAAACAATGTTAATAATACTGTAAAATGAATTGGTAAATGAAGGTAATACTTGCTCCGAAAGTAATGGTAATAATAATGTTGGTTATTTAGCAGACAATAAAATAATATATGTAGATAATAATGATATTGGTTATTCAGAAAGCAGAGTCGGTGTAGAAGTTGAAGAGATAAAATTTAAATGATAGTAATAAATATCAAGATAGATAATTTACGTTCATAATGTTAAAACAATAATTGTAATTTTAAAAATTTTTTACTTAAATTTAATTTCGTCAATCGTGATTTTTTTATTTGAGAGTTTTGACTTACACCAAGGATTATGAGTCATGGCAGTGGTTTTAATACCTCAAGGTTTTTGCCTGCGTCATTTTCGTAATAATTTTACAACATCTGAGAATCAAATCATTGAATTGCTTTGCTTTGCTTGTCAATGCTAATGTGAACGCGTCTCTTGAAAAATATCAACAAATGAAGAATGGATTATATCACTAACAAATTCGATTTGCATTATATGAAACAAATTTTATCAAAACATTGAATGTAAAAAAATGATTGATCTTGAAACCGATCGACAAATAACTATCCATCACACTGTAAAAATGAATTTAACTGTGGGTTATATTTACCTATGCAATTATAAATCTGGTAAAAGAGAAAATGGATCCAAGAAGATTTTTCTTTCCAAACTGAAAAATAAATAAATGAAATTCACCTTCTTCTCCTTGCTAGACTATACGCAAATAGTAATTTAGTGTTCTAATAGACTAAAGTTCCATATTCAATTCACATTTTCCCTACAAAATTTACATAATAACGAAATGAACTAACTATTTAATTATCAATTGAGAAATTGTAGTATGATTAACAATCTCTAGATCTTCTGATGCACCCAATTTAGAGAGTTTGCGGAAACTAGGTAAATTATTGACAGCAGCACGTCCACTTGTGCAATATTTAAATAAAAAAGGTTTTAACGCGTCAAATTCAAATTTTCTAGAGAGGAATATCTACCAGAGTAAATGCACGAACTGGATCAATATTTATTTGTTCATGGAGAATATTGTAAGAGTCAGTTATCGTAATGTGGCGGATGGTTTAATGTGGTTGTCAATAGTTGATTTTCTAGTAAAAATATTACAAAATTATGGATAATTTATTATCTCTTTTAACATAAAATTTGCCCTTGTGTTTGGGGAGGACCCGCAAACTTCATAGATAGGTTACTGCCGCAGCTGGGCCAAATTAATATATAAATGTCAGTGATTCTAATAGGGTCAAATTATTTATAAATTTAAAAATTTAACAAATGTAACAAACAATCACTAATAGGGTCAATTAATTTAGCGCTAGTAATCAATCTGTGGGTCAAATTATTATACACATCAAAGAGGTTGGTTAGGTTTAATAGGGTCAAATCTATTAGTATTAGTATTCAACGATTTATTAGGGAACCAAAAATTTTGTGTATCAAAATTTTTCCTTGCATGCTCATTCAAAAACAAAACCAATATACATAGTAAATCTTTTATGGTTGGCTCGGTCTAAAGACCTCCTATTGCCGCGTCATCAGTGTTGAAAATTCGGTGCGGGGAATGCGGGGGTGTAACATTGCACACCAATCAACCTTTTAATTTTTGGAGATAGTTTCTAAATTTGTACTGGTTACACAACGAAATTTCAACACTGCGCGTCATATTGGGGTGTTACAAATTATAATAAACACAAACATAGTTGAGCACACATATAAAAAATCATATGTGCGGATTTTTCACCGATCAATATATGTAAATTTTTTCAATATGAAAATTCAAACTCTATCTCCTCTAGATTTGTAAAATAAACCTTTGT